AACATTTCCCACCATTGATGGTCTCTGAGTTGTTTTGGACAGTCACCTGTGAGGTGAGAAGACATTTTTCTTAGCTGGCACTTCAAGCAGGGTGTGATGTTACCTATTTTAAATATTTCATACAGAAAATGGGTTCATAACTGTCCTTTCCCAAACCTTTTTCTTCAGTATTGGGTAATTCTTGCCTGCTCTTTTTCTGATAGTCCTTCTTACAAGTTTTTCTGTAATCTCTAGATAGCATTTTCAACTTATGCTAAAGCAGGTCAGATCTTTGTGCCTGCAAAGGTGCTATGCCAATCTAAAGATATAAAAATATACATATAAAGTTTTTACTTGGGCTGATGTGATTCTTTTTTTTTTATTTTTAAATTTGGCTTGCATATAGGATGCTCTTTGAAGTTTTGTTCTCTTAATGAACGGCGAACAAGAGAATTTTGTTTCACAATTGTGAAGCTGTCTTGAGGAATTCTGCAAGCTGTCTTGAGGAAAAATGGTTTAGCACTGGCTTCAGCAGGTTTGTTTTTTTAAACTCTTTGTGTTGGGAGTGTCTTTTTTTTTTGTAGTCTTGGGTAAGCTTTCCTATATCAGCAGAAAAAACAAAGGTTCTTGAAATCTACAGGAGAATTTGCCAAGGGAAGATGGTTAGTACATTTAGTACATTCACAGTGAGACACTGTTCCTTGTGCTTACCACCATCTTGTAGGGTTAAGGGATGATTTATTTGTGACTAAATTTAGTCTCAGTAGAAGAGGAAAATAGGAACAGTGCTGCATGTTGGCCTCATGGAAGATAAGAGACCATACTTGTGAGATTCCCAGTAAAATGCTGGTGTGGGTCAGAGTATTGACAAACTAACTTTTCTGGTTATGGTATTATCTGAAAGAAGCTTCCATTTACTTTTGCTTGGGCTCTGGGAGGGAAACTGGAATTATTTCTTCTTCCTGATTAATTGGTATTGCAAAAAGGAAAGATTTTTTTGTCACTTCCCTCACTTTGCTGTTTTCATGAAAGATTTTTTCCTAGTGTGAATTGTATTAATATCTGCTCTTACAACTAAGTGATATGGTCAGTGATAAATGCTACTAGGGGAAAAAGAAAAGAGTTAAGATTTATCTTGTAATTCTTTTTTCATCTTGAACTGTGGCAAATCTGTATCAGTGGAAATGCTGAAACTGGCTGCACTGTGTGCAAGAATGTATTTAGTTAGTAGTTGAAATATTCAGTTTTGAAGTCTAACAATGCTGTAGTCAGAGTTGTCATTTCAAGAAAAATACTGCAGGGTTACATCTGCTTGTTTCCAAAGAGAACTTTTCATCCTAATCTTCTGCTTTTGTGAGAGAAGTGAGGGCAGTGTGATGCATGGCAGCAATAGCAGAGCTCTTCTCCTGGAGTTCCAGCTGTGCCAGCTCTGGGAGCCCTTCCCATAACCCTGATCAACAGCTAATTCCAGTGCTTGGCTTTCCTAGCTGGAGTTATTTGATGTTTCTAGAGCGGCAGAGGGGCTGGTGCCTGCCTGGAAAGCAGAGCTCAGAGCTGAGTGAGCGCTGGGCTGCTGTTCCCAGCTGAGAGCTGCCCAGGATGTCCCTGCCCAGGATAACCTGCAGTGCTGCCTGCTCTGCCCAGGATAACCTGCAGTGCTGCCTGCTCTGCCCAGGATAACCTGCAGTGCTGCCTGCTCCTCTCTGCTCTGCCCAGGATAACCTGCAGTGCTGCCTGCTCTGCCCAGGATAACCTGCAGTGATACCTGCTCCTCTCTGCTCTGCCCAGGATAACCTGCAGTGATACCTGCTCCTCTCTGCTCTGCCCAGGATAACCTGCAGTGCTGCCTGCTCTGCCCAGGATAACCTGCAGTGATACCTGCTCCTCTCTGCTCTGCCCAGGATAACCTGCAGTGATACCTGCTCCTCTCTGCTCTGCCCAGGATAACCTGCAGTGCTACCTGCTCTGCCCAGGATAACCTGCAGTGATACCTGCTCCTCTCTGCTCTGCCCAGGATAACCTGCAGTGATACCTGCTCCTCTCTGCTCTGCCCAGGATAACCTGCAGTGATACCTGCTCTGCCCAGGATAACCTGCAGTGATACCTGCTCCTCTCTGCTCTGCCCAGGATAACCTGCAGTGATACCTGCTCCTCTCTGCTCTGCCCAGGATAACCTGCAGTGATACCTGCTCTGCCCAGGATAACCTGCAGTGATACCTGCTCCTCTCTGCTCTGCCCAGGATAACCTGCAGTGATACCTGCTCCTCTCTGCTCTGCCCAGGATAACCTGCAGTGATACCTGCTCCTCTCTGCTCTGCCCAGGGACAGCAGCCACTTTCCTTTGCTGCAAGTATCCAGAGCTTAACAAACCATCTGCTAACACAAGGAGAAGGCAGTTCTCCATGGCAGATTTTCCATGTTGAGGGTGAGGGGCTCTTTAGAGATGATCTGAAACCTTTTGAGCTTCTCAGGTATGTTGTTAAGGACTTCACCAGGTGATATTTCTGTGTGCAACAGTGATGTACCTCCAGCAGCTGTTAAACTTAGTGGGTTTGGGGTGAAGTCCTTTAACTGAAACACATAAATCTGATTTTTTGGTTCAGGTTAAACTCATCTAAAGCTGTTAATGAGTGTTTGCCCTGTTTTACTGCGGGGAGTTTTTAGCAAGTGAATTAAGTGCTGTGATTTGGATTAATTTTCAAGAGAATCCTAATGAATGCAAGCTCTCGGTGGAATGTACTTTATGCAGCGTCTAAGGAATCATATCTGACTTGTTTTGAGTGCTTAAGTGGTGTCACAGCAGCATTTTTAGCATTTTGACATCTCAAACAGCGAGGCCAGTGTGAAATAGCCTTTCTGTTTGGAAGAAGTGTTTTTCTTGCAGATCTGGGGCACAGTGTCTTGCTTATTGAAGCAGCTTCAGTGGGACACTGCAGACTTTGTTGCACAGTTTATATTTCTGTACTGTTTTGCATAAAGATACGTAGTTGAAATAGAAGAAACGTAACTTGTATTAAAAGAATACATCTGTAGGTGTTGCTTTGGTGGATAATTTCAGTTGATGCTGGTGGCTGTTTTTCCTTGGCTGCTGCTTCTTTACATATGTGCTCTAAAATATTCTCTAGCAATATTGTTGCTAGCTTTTCTTGTCATTTAAAATAACCAGAGTTAGCACTTGAACATGGCGAGATCTGCTCACAAAGCAGTGGCAATTTCCATAAGCTTTGTAATGTTCCTCATTGTACCTTCTATGAAATTGTGTGAAAATGACAAAATGCTGGCTTGCCCTCATCTTTCCATGTTTTCCATTTAAAGATTAAGGTTAAGCTAAGCATTCTGAAATTATTTCTTCTTGTATCTTTTCCTGTACTAACTCATTCCAGAAGGAAAAAAAAATGTTCTATCCTTTCTTCCTGGATTTTAATTTTCTCTTTCTACCCTTTCCCAGTATTTTTTTGCAATATTACCTTTTGGTCTCTTCCTTCCAGCCACTTGCACTGTTGCTAAAAATTCTTTTGCAAGTATATCTGTGTTTTAAACCTAATCTTTAACCTGTTTGCCCAGTTATTATCTCACAAACATGCTGGTTTGGAGAAGTTTATTCCTAATGTCTGGCAAACCTGACTTCTGAGCAGAAGGGGCAGGTATATGAAAGCTGGTGTGAAAGGCAAGATGTTGGGATATATTAGATGCTGCTGCTCTTTGGACACTGGCTGATATTTTTTCATCTGATGGGATCAGGAATGTTTCAGTGTTCTAGTTTTGCTGTCAGTTGAGCCCAGCAGTCACGTGAAATAGTTCACACTGGAATAAAAGCAGTGGAGAAAAAAAGAGAGAATTGTGTAGTGGGGTAAGTTTTACAGTGGGGTAAGTTTTACATTGCAGTGGTTTAGTTACATTTCTTGCTTCTCTGCTAGATCTTGGCTATTAACTGAGATCCCAGCCCAGACTCCCTGTGCTAAGGAGTTTCCTGCCAGCACTTGTACAACAGCATCATATTGCACTGCAAAAATAAGGAATTCTATTGCATATGCCACCAGACTCTGTATTTAAAGGAAAAGCAGAGGGGAGAAGGAACAGCAGCAGGATGAGGTCCTATTGTTCTGTGTTTTAAGAGGTCTCTGCTGTTAAAATATAATTTAATGGAATTAATCTCAGCTGGTTCATGGAGAAATATATTTCAATCAAAATATTTTCGTAACCTGAACAAAGATTTAAGTTACATTTAGTTTGAGAGAAGAGTCTAGAACCAGTTTTCAGTGGAGCTGGGATTCTCTTGTTCCTCTTACCCTCATTGGTCTCGTTGCTGGGTCATTGCTCCTCTTTCAGATTTGCATCTGTGCTTGCTTAAGTTGTGTGGTCAGCAATGATTTCATGATTATTCTTAGTTTTGGTTGTGACTTCTGCATTTGAAGTGGGGCTGACAGCAGTGCTGAGGAACCTGCTGGTTGAGGTGGTGGGCAGAGTCATTTCAGTCTGTCCTGCTTTCCCGTGTGCAGGATGGTTTCCCAGCACAAGGGTTTAGAAACCGTGTCCTGGCAGTGATCGAAGGAAAGATACACTACTGAGTGCTTTTAAAAATTTTTATATTCTTTCTTACTCAGAAAGGTAACAGGTAAAGTGTTACAGCCAGTTAGAACTAGGAAGAAAGACCAAATGACATCTGAAGGGTTTTGTCATGGCCAACAAAATTACAGCTTGAAGACTGATGGATTCTCTTTCCTTTCTACTGTGAATGATAGAAAAGCAAGAATTGAAGTTTCTTTATAAGTTTAAATATAAGGATTTAAATAAAGTGTTGCTTTTTTTATTAGGAGGAGCTGGAAAATACCAGAGAAGTATAAATACAGTAGGATATATTCTAGTGTGGGACAGACATTTGGTGATAAATTAGGTATTTAACGTGTGGGTTTTTTGATGTAGTTTTTAATTTAATATGATTAATTAATTTAATTTATTATAAATTAATTAAATTTATTAATTTAATTGTTTAATTTAATGTGTTGTTCGTCTTGATACAGATATGGTCCTGAACGCGGTGAGCACATGACTTCGGAGATGGACAACCAGATCCATTACAAGTCGTGATTGGCCTTAAATTGACTGATCAGCAGTGCAGAGCTCGGCAGGAATTCTCTCATTCCTGGTTTTTGCCTGTCCTCTCGCCTCACCGCTCCAGCTGCATCATGTACGGCAGCGCTCGCTCGGTGGGCAAGGCGGAGCCCAGCGCGCAGAGCCCCGGCCGCTCGCCGCGCCTGCCGCGCTCGCCGCGCCTGGGCCACCGGCGCACCAACAGCACGGGGGGCAGCTCGGGGAGCAGCACCGGGGCTGCCAGCGGGAAAACCCTTTCCATGGAAAACATCCAGTCCTTAAACGCCGCCTACGCCACCTCCGGCCCCATGTACCTGAGCGACCACGAGAACGTGGGCGCGGACACGCCGAAGAGCACCATGACGTTGGGGCGCTCGGGGGGCCGGCTGCCTTACGGGGTTCGCATGACAGCCATGGGCAGCAGCCCCAACATCGCCAGCAGCGGCGTGGCCAGCGACACCATCGCCTTCGGGGAGCACCACCTGCCCCCCGTGAGCATGGCGTCCACCGTGCCGCACTCGCTGCGCCAGGCCAGGGATAACACCATCATGGACCTGCAGACGCAGCTCAAGGAGGTGCTGAGGGAAAACGATCTGCTCCGCAAGGACGTGGAGGTGAAGGAGAGCAAGCTCAGTTCTTCCATGAACAGCATCAAGACCTTCTGGAGTCCCGAGCTCAAAAAGGAGAGAGCTCTGAGGAAGGACGAAGCTTCGAAAATCACCATTTGGAAGGAACAATATAGAGTTTTGCAAGAGGAGAACCAGGTTTGTCATCTAATGTCGCTGCTGGGTTAGTGTGGTAGCATGATTAAATGACTTTAATAAACTTGCATGTTACACTTGAGCAGGTAAATTAGCTCGGTGCTTTTCTTGGGTAATGGATGTGGGTAAGGTGTGTTTCCAGCTTGCAAGCCTGTTTCTAGATGTTTCTTGTCAGACTTGTAAACTACCTCTAGTGCTCATTTTTCCTTTGGGGTCACGTGAGTTTTTTCCCCCCTAAGACTGATGGTAGCCACTCATTTTCCTTTTGGGAGTATCTGTTCTGCTCATAATTGATATTTCTGTGCTGTTTCCCTCTTGAAGTGTTCTCTGAGTTGCAGAATGTACTAACTGCTGACCCCCAGTATGACTGCACTGTTGCCATTATAACTGACAGATTGCCATTGAAAACAGAGTTAAGGTTACACTCACTGGTATTTAGAGTTAAAACCTCCAGATCTGCAGTTTTCACAAACAAATATAATTTGTGTTCTTGGCTACATTTAAGTAACACTGTTTAATACGTGCTTGTAATTATTTTGTCATAAACTGTGCGTATCTTGTTATGCAACTACCCTAAAGCATCCCACGGGTTTTTTTTGTAGTGGTCTGGCCAGTTACAGAATAGGCAGAACAGAGATTCTCAGGTGTCTAGGTCTTTGGTCTTGTGCATCTTAAAAGCATCTCCAAATTAAAATAAAACTGAGAGGTTGGTTAAAATTGAGGTCTCTTTGTACTTAGTTCTGCTGATCAAAAGCTTTTTTTAAGTTCTCCCACCTAGACCTCCTTGCTGCCTTAGTCCTGAAGTAAATATTTGTCTTTGGATGAGTGTCCTCCTGTTTAGTTGTTTCTGGCCAGATGTGAGCTCAGCACCTCTCTGGACTGCCAGGTAAATCCCTCACTATTCTTATGGAAAACAGACCAGTGTCCAGCTCCACAAGTTCCTTCAAATAAATGTGAGTCAGTTTTCATCATGACAAAATTACTTTCCCTACTGAGCTTTTTAAGTATCCAAGCTCATTTGATGAAAATTTCCATAATTCAAATGTGACCATGTTCCTGTAGCTTTTAAGGTATGGTTGCTGTTTTAGGCAGTGCTTTTTGTAAGATTGCTTTAGAAGGTGAAGGAGAGAGGGAAATGCTGGAGGAGAAGGGTTGTGCTGGTAGTGCTTCTTGTACTCCCAGGTAGCCTGTCTGAAATAGTAAATTACTTTTGGGTAGTGATTGGTCTACTACACTGAACCTGTCTGCAATTTTCACTGTTTAAAGAGCTTGAGTTGAAGAAAGTAAGTTGCTTTTCCTGAGATAGTGTGCAATCGTCATTTAGCTTTATAGGTGTATTCTTACCAAATGTAAGTATCACAGCCTGGGATTGGTTAAGGTGTGTGACACTTTGTCTTCATTTGCTTTTGTCATCTTGGAATGCAGAAAACCTGAAGTTAAAGAATTTTTATTGCAAAGGTAGGATTTCTTTAGAAGCAGTAATGTAATGAAAATTTTAGTTCTAATGGTGCAGTAGCAGGATAACAAATACCTGGAATACCAATCACTCAACTTTTCTGGTGTTCTCTGTATTTCAGTTTCAGGTAAGTCTTTTAATTCTTAATTTTTTTTTTTTCATTTTTGACCTGTTTTCATATTAAAGAGACTGTCTTGGAATACAATAACATTTTTTTCTGAAATCAGTTTTGACATTTGAGGATGCTTTGGAAATCTTGCAAGAAAAATGCCATGAATATATGGTTTAGAATGGATGAATACTAAACTAAGTTACTAAATATGAACACATTAGAGAACAGTGATTTCTCTTAGATTTTTTTTTTCTCTTTATCTTTCCTTTATCCCCTAATTAAACATTTACAGATATTTCTAGGTTGCTGTTCTCCAGGAAATCCCTGTAATTACTACCACACCAGTAGAATTGTATAACTTTGGTCCAAAAGAAGGGTACAATTTAAAAGTAAAGGGGTATTACTGCATTGAGCTGTAAAGACTAAGAATGCTAATTAATAGATTATAGTTAGCTAACAGCGTGTTCTAATTAAATTCTGAATTCATTGGGTCTTCTATAGCCTTTTGGAGTTGGTCACTTCAGCCCTTCATGTGGAAGATCAGTTTAATAGGATTTTCTGTAATTAAACAGACTTCTCTGTTTAGACTCTGAACAAGGAATTTCCCGGATCTGTTGCGGGACCAGAAAATATCTTCATTACCCCCTCAGCCTCTTTCTAAAATGAGCTCCAGTATAATTACAGGAACTGGAGTTTTACTTAATTGTGAGTACTTCAGCACATCACTTTTTAAAAAGACTTGTTACACGTGTAGTGCTTGTGTTTTGTGTGAAGTTAATCTGAGAGCAGTTGTGTGGTTAAAAATGGACTCAACTCATGGAGCCAACAGCTGGCTGACTCGTGCCATTACCTGATGGTCATCTCAGTCTCTCTCCTGTGGTCACTGCTCTTTATTCTTCTGCACACACTCGATTGTCCCTGATTGTATTGCTGCTTGTGTCACCTCCTCTTGAGTGACTGAATTACCCCTTGGGTTTGGGAGTTGTTCAGAATACCTGAAAACGTGAGCCCTGCTTGATTGCTTCCTCAGCTTCTGTGAGTAAATGCAGTTTTCATTCCTGTTTCTTGGGAACAAATGAATGTACTGCTTATTGATTTCCAGCAAGTTCTCTGGGTCCAGTAAAGCTCAGGGAATGAGTGGGGAGGTTAAAGAGCGTGTGCTGCCTGTCCTGAGGCAGTGGGTAGGAGGGATATCCTGGATATAATCCTGGCAATGCCATGCACGTGCTCTCAGTAGCTCTCCCGTGGGGGTCAGTGTCCAGCTGTGGTCTTTCCCCAGCACAGCTGGATTCATCAGCTGCTCTGAGCAGATGCTACAGCTGGGGAGTGGAGCTTTATTTTCATCCTTTGTTACCAATCCTGAAGAGACAGAAAACCCTTCCTTTTCAGAAGTGGGGAATGTCATTCAAAGCTCACTTTGAAGAGCTCAAAACTAAACATGGAAAGTATTGCTGTATTAACATGGAAAAACATGACAGTTTTCAGTGCAGTGTGGATGAGTTAACCAATCATTCTTTGCAAGATGCCCAGAGGAGAGTGCAAATGATTGCTCAGTTATGCAAATCCATGCATATTCAAGGAGGAATTGATGAAACCAGTAAACAGGAGTTTGGTTTTGGCATGGTATCACTCTCCTCAGCATGCTTTAGTGGGAGCTGTCTTTTCCTGAGTTGAAAAATAATTTTTTTTAGTGTGTGTGGTTTAAAGTTTCCCTGGAAACCTCTTCATCAGAAGCCAGGAGAGGAAAGGAAAGACAGTGAGTATGTTTTGCACCACAGTAGAAATAATGTGCCTAAAAACTGGGCAGTGGTGGGGTGATGTGAAAGGCAGGGACACAGGAATTCCTCTCAGTTGAAACTTGCTTGTGACAAGGTGACTGTGCCTTAAAATAAGTAGTGTAATGTAAATTTGATGTCTAATGCCCTGCATTGAAATTCCCCACGTTCGACTGATCTACTTTTAAGATCAGATTTATGTTTCAGCTAAAACTGTGTGGTACAGCTGAAAACATCTTTTTACTTTGATGCATTTCTGTGGTCTTTTTTGTGGTTAGAGACCTCGCATGTCTGAGGCAGAGTTTAACCAAGAAAGTATTTCTGAAAGGAATTTCACCTGGCTTGGGGTAAGCACTTGAAGAACATTGTACTTTGTTGTGATGGATGTGTTCCAGCATTTCACCAGCGTTCAGAGTCAGAAGTATTTTCCATTTCTTAGTAGTGTGTAATGAGCATCTCAGTCTCAAAAATGTACTTGTCCATATGTTAACCTCTTAAATGCATTGGGTGCTGCTGTTATGAGACTGGCTGAGCTTCTAATGAGTACATTTCTTCTCTGAAAATCAGATTGATTCTCCCTTTTTCATTGGTTTAGTTTTTTTCTAATGATGTATTAAAAATTTTTTTTTGGCATGTCTAAGTGCTGTGTCATTCTACTTTTAGCCCCATTCCTGAGTTGGTTATTGATATAAAACTAAGCTTTCTTCCATTCTGGGTGTTTAATTGTGCAGTGTATGGTTCCATAGGCATTGCTTAAAGGCATTCTCTGTATCCCAGAGCATTGCATTTAAATAATTCCTTCAGTGGCAGATGCCTGTTGGCTCTCTAGAATTCTGCCAGCTTTAAGGTTCCTTCTGTCTTTCCCCAGCTGCAGCATGAAATTATAATTCAGTTCTCTTTCAGAATAACTCCAAACTACCTCCTCAAGAGTGCTTGGTGTCTGAAGCAGTTAGCAATTTGCAGCACGTTGTTAGGACCTCAGAAATCCTCATGTGATCACCCAAGAGAACACCCCATGTTCTGTCTCTCTTTCAGTTCTTTAAGGCAATAAAAGTAGACATTTTGTGGTTATCTCTGCTCCCCAAGGCTCCTTTTGCCCGGTGTTTGCTGTGGAGGTAGGATCTAACACCTTGGGTTGCTTTGAGCTGTAGCACAGGCTGAACAGCTGCTCTCTACTTGATCCATTAAACATAGAAAGGGAATAGTACCAACTTAAAAGCAGCTTGCAGTGAAACAGGTGACGTCAGTGGTGCTGCTGAACTGAGTAGTTTAACTGTGCTTTTTTTGCTGTTAAGCTGGAGCAGGGATTACTTCAAATTCTGCAGAACTTAGAGCAGACTGTTGCTGCTGTAATTTTCTCTAATATATATTGAGTCTGTTCTGATACTAGACTCCTAACTAGGGTGGCAGTGTGTTATTCCACCATTTAGTCTTTTTATTCCTGAAGAACCTTGTCTGTAATGCTGTATTTCTCTAGAAGCCATTGCACCTTTCAACATTCCCATATTTGTGACGAGTCAGTAATTTTTTCCCTTTAGTGTTGTTGCTTTCTAAAGGATGAACAAGAAACTGTGTAAGGCTTCCTCTTTCTCACTCAGCCAGTGGAGAGTTCCCAGTGATGGATGATGGCAGGAGGGCAGAGGTGCTCCTCCTTACAGGT